GAAATCATCAATTGTTCCCGGGGGGCAAGTGAAATCATCGAGATGAGGTAACCAGGTGCAATAGTCCTTGTGAAGTTTGAATACGCAAATGACCTTGAATTCACAACCGTGGGGTTGAGGATCAACCTGTCGTACTGCTCATCTTTCGGAACAGCAAACATTCCAACTGCTTCAATATCAGGAACCGAACTGCATTGTACCAACCGACATGCTCCTAACTGATCCCACTTCTCTGCAAGTGCCAACACCTCTGCTCTCGAAGCGTGAACTTTTGCTTTAGGAAGTCGAGGCCAGTCTGTAGGCGGTTTCCTCAAAAAATCTGGGTCCTCAAACGCTTGCCTGACCACCGGATCACTAAGATAGGGCCTTGGGTCGAAGCTGGGCTTGAGTTTCCACTTGATTCGAGAAGCCACAACGGGCTTAGCCGAGCAAGCGTTCGAGGGCACTTTCAAAGTGGGGTCACGAGGGCAAGGAGCACCAAGGTCTCTCCCAGTCGGGCCGGAAGCTTGCTGACTACTAGAGCTTCGTTCATGTCTGTTTCGAGTTCGTGAATACGAATTAAAGGACTTCTGAATATTACTTAAAAAACTGCTGATGTCATCAAAATCGAACGCTTCAGAAACACCAGGTAACGAAAAAGCAATTGCACTTAATTTCTTCAACTTTTCGCCAGCCCTACCTAGGGAGTCCAAGGTGATCTCGCCGACCCCCAGGTAGTAGTCAACTAAGTCTTCAAGCCTCTCCATCAACTCCAGTTGGCCGGGTGTGTATGGATACCCAGCCCTGGCGTAGTCAGGAGGTGTGCTGCACTGCCCCAACGCTAACCAGTTCAAGGCCAGAATCAGATGCTGTGTACACAGAGCTCGGACTTTTAGGTGGCGTAGCCGACGCCGCCTCTTTGGTGATAATGTCGAAGAGGTGCCCGTCCATCGACCCCAACGAGGAGGGGGACAGGGCCATAGGTCTGACCTCCGGGAGAGTGCCGGAAGCGAAGCATCGCGGAGTGGTGAGAGGCTCAATCTGATAAACCGGGACAAATCTGTGCCAGCCCCGATCGAACTCAGTGTGGCCCCCACGAGTTCATGGCAACTAATTGGCAAAGGGAAGACCTCGCCAGAGATTGATGCTTTGAAAGGGATCCCAGCATCCTCCGTTCGGTCTTCAGAACATTGGGACTGTCCCCAAGCCTCACCAGATGCCGAAGGGGCTCCTGTGAAAATACCGGGCTTACTCAGTCGACCCGCTTCCCGACCGCAAGAAACGGTAGGCGTCCAAGGCCTCCGTTCAGACGAAGAAGAGGGCAGCAAGGAAGCAGGTCGACCGAGCTCCGGTGGAGCTTCCCTTTTCACCTCTAGTTTGCCGTGGAGTCGCTGCTGGCATTGCCGCCAGCTGCTTTCTTCTTCTTCGGCCTCCAGGGCTTTCTTGGGGCGGCATCTTCTGACCCTTGGTCCACGTTGGTCTGAGGCTTTGGCCCTGCTGCAGCTTTGATCTTTCCCTCCAGAAAATCCAGGTCTTTCAAGAAAGCCACATTGGCTCCTACCCAGCTGGGAGCTGCAAGTCGGCTGAACGGACTCAGTGTGTTGGCCTGCTTGTTTTTCTGGCAGATCGAATACTGTGGTTCTGGCAGGCCCGTGAGTAGCCAGCTCAGCTTTGTTCGATTCATGTCCATGGCCGTCTGGTCCACATAGACCAGCCCTCGTGACGCTACTGCCATGAGTTCCACATTGCCAGACCGGAACCCGGTTTCCCAGGCCCAGGCCCACATGTAGGCCTGCTGAATCAAGGCACGGTTTTCGCCCAGCGGTGATCTCTTCTCGACATAGTCCCGCATGAGGCCCGGACCTATGCTGGTCACTTCCAGGCCCAACTCTGTAGCCGCATTTTCCGCGACCACAGTAGCCACCTTTCTCGCATCCGTGAGCAGCTTCACATAAGCTTCTCGAGCCATGCAGCCTTTTATCCCAGCGTTGCCCGTGCTTTGCGACTCTGACCCCCCACTCAAAGCTGCACTGATGGGGTCTTTGGACTGGGTGAGTTGAGCCTGCTGCTTTGAGAGCATCGCCATCTGGCGCATCTGCAAGTACATGAGCTTCTGCATGGGATCCGTGAGAGCCCCTTCCAGCTGCTGCAGGCCATCTTCTACTTCGGCCTCCTCTATGGCCTCTAGGCCGGCTTCTTGCTGGAGGGCCTCCATTCCTGGATGGCTCTGAGAAGCAGCCCTCTGCCTTTCGTGCGCTCCTAACCTCATAGGCGCAGAGCCTGCCAACCCCTGCAGCTTTGCCAAGGTGGAGGCCACGTCCGAAGGACCTGCATGAGTGGGAGGTCCGTCGAAAAGGACACCTCGACCTGTAGGTCGAGCAGGTGATGCTTTTGGCACGGTCTCCAAAGCCCGAGATGAAGGAGGACGCACATGTTGTTGGAGCTGAGTCTCCAGCTCCTGAACCCTCTGGCGCAAGATGCCAAGCTCGTCCGAAGGCGCCTCTCCAAGATCGACTGCTTCTGTTTGCTCCCATCCTGGCTCCAGGCCTTCGGAGTCGCCAGTCACATAGTCCCCTGCAGCGTCGTCGTCCATGACTTCGTGCACCCAATGATCTGAAGCACCGATGAGCGCAGATCTTCTTGGACGACATGGTTGGTCTCCCACAGTGAACCTCAGAATATCGTAGGATGCAGGGTTCCGAAGGGAATGAACTTTGATGAACAGGCGTGACAACTCCCATGGCAGATCGACCAGCAACAAAGCCCCCTCGCCCAACGCACGGCCTCTGTTTGTTTCCATCAAGGCTTCTGTCTGGTAGATGGCGCAGAGCTCCTGACCATCGGCACCCTGTTGCTCTTCCAGGAATCGCCCAACCTCTGCAACATCGGGAGCTGCGATCATGAAGCCACCGGAGCGGATCTTGACCAGGTAGCAAAAGGCGCGGTCGCTGTGTCCACTCTCTCTCTGGGGCATCAGCAAAAACACCCCTGGCAAGGGGCCTGTAGGCAAGAGAGACTCCCACAGACCCCGGAGGTAAGCCTCGTCTAGCGGCGCCGGGGCAGCATGGGAGGCCATGCTGACTGGGCACCAATGATGTAGGCTTCAGCTTCCGCCCTGGATGCGAAAGCGTGGCTCACGGAGTCGCCGTGCAGGTCGCCTCCGCGGCCTTGCACTTGATCTCGATAGGTCAAATAGTCGTCCGTCCAGCCTGAAGAACCGGTTGGAGCGGGACGGAGGATGATGTAGATCTTGGTGGGCAAAGTGACAGCAGAAGGGCTACCACGCGGCCACCGTCCAGTTTCAATCCTCGCTCGAGCTTGGACACCTGCTCGTAGGGCTCGTCCAAGGCGAGCCAAAGGTGACCAGTTGTTGCTAGTCGTCCTGATCCTGGGCAAGAGGTGCTCTACAGGGCTAAGATCAAGGGCCAAGACACTCGAAGGCGTCACAGCTCGAGTCAACAACTCCTCCCACTCTTCTGTCCAAGGAAGAGGACGAGCTGGCTCGGCGTCAACAGCAACCCAAGACTCAGTCTCTGACGGAGCTGAGGTTTCAGGGCCTGAAGCCGCAGGCGCCCCTTCGGGGCGAGCAATTGCACCTGAAGGAGGGGAACCTGGATGATGTGAAGCACTGGATCGATAACCTGAGTCCGTCCTCGAGACTTGGATTCTAAGGTCACCTAGCTGGACTGAGAGCTCTTCAACCTCCCGGTCAGCCCTCATGCAAGGGCCTATACTGAGCAAATCTTCGCCTCAGAGCGTCCGGCGGGACAGGAGGATCAACCACTAAAGCCGAGGCGCAGGTTGCTCCAATCCAACACAAAGCTCTGCGAAAGGAGCTTGACACGAGCGCCAGCACCGCAAGGCCACCGCAGCAACAGCCACAAAGGAAGCCAAGCAGGGCCAGCAACAAGGCGAGAGGAAAGCCCACTCCCGCAGAGCAGCCCGAGGTAGGCCAAGCCCAGCGGATCTCGCGAACAAGATCCAGCGCGAAGCCAAGAGACATCCGCCGGGGCTCGGGCCCAAATGTTCTTGAGCGAGCCACTGACTCTTTAGGCTTAGGGATAAAGTGACATATTCATTGTAACTATATCAGGTTACTCAGAATCATTGGCACTTTCGGCGACTACTTCACCTGGCAACTCCAGTGGCTTGCTGGTGCCCGTGCTACGCCGCATCCGCTGCATGGGCGGGAGGCTGCTCGCCGCCAAACGTCGCTGCAGATGGCTGGGGCAAAGGAAAGGCAGAACAAAACAATCTAAGGCCTCCAACAACCTGAGAGATGGCTTCCAACCTAGTACGTAGTAGTAAGGCCAGGAGCCCCTAGTAGCGTCCTTACTCCTAGTAGCGATGCCAGGAGCCCCTAGTAGCGTCCTTGTTCCTAGTAGCAACGGCCTCCAACCTAATTGCGCCCAAGTTTGTATTTTGAAAAAGGAAAACACATATTCTTGACTTGGCATGACAAGAACGAACAAAAGCCCGCTATTTGCTGCCGGTTACTTATGCTACCATAACTTGCCAATGACGTCAACGCCAAATTTCTGTCGCGGATCTAAGCCTACCAAAGCTGCATTGCGAATACAGAGTGGTGTTTGGGTGCAGCCACAATATGGCTAAAGATTATATGGGGCCAGTCTTGGAACAAACCTGAGCTTCTTCAAAGCGTCGAATGAAGAACTATATAGCCAACCTCCTCTGAAGAAACATTCCCTCTTTGCTGGCAATGCCCAACCGTTGCTCGCAGGGGTTTTATGTTTAGCTGTGTCGGCCAGTCACTCCCAATGTTCAACACCGGCAACGAGCCATAACGAGCCAAGCAGGACGTCCTTCTGTGGGCTTCACACCTCCAACCTACTAGCAATGGCCTCCAACCGAAAAGTATAGAACAAATACTTTAAGACTTCAAGGAACCTAATAGCAATGGCCTCCAACATAAGAGCGATGGCCTCCAACCTAAAGGCTTCACGCCCTTTGGAGACTTGTCCATCCTTGACCCAACTGCTCTCCTCTCATCTCCAAGGGGCGGGAGCATTTGTGGTACTCGCGGAGCACCTAAACTCTTGGTTGCAGGGCTTGCAGGGCGTGCAGTTGACTGGCACTTCAACAGAACGAGCTAGAACCCGCGCACTCTTGAGGCCCCGCGTCTGAATTGACGCACATGACATGCTTTGCCCCTAGTAACGTCCTTGCTCCTATTAGCGATGCCAGGAGCCCCTAGTAGCTTCTTGTTCCTAGTAGGGCCAGGAGCCCCTAGTAGAGTCCTTGCTCCTAGACAAAGAATAGAACTGACCTTCCAAGTCCAACCTCGCAGTTGTTGAGGTAGAGCAAGTCGGCAGCATAGCCTTGACTAGAGACAGAAGCGGCACAGTAGCACTTTTTGCAAGCAGTCTCAAGCAAAGGCCAACGAGTTTCACGCGCACTTGCGGTCCACGGTGTGCGCTCTCAGCCAGCGAGCGGAGATGCCCTTTGCTCCTAGTAGCGTCCTTGCTCCTAGTAGTAAGGCCAGGAGCCGCTAGTAGCTTCCTTGCTCCTAGTAGCGATGCCCTTTGTTCCTAGTAACG